TGAACCTTGGACGTTCTTCGCAAAACAAAACAGAAAAAGGAAAAACAATTGGCAATTGATCTGAAAAATGAATTTATATTGATTTTTGAGTTTGCCTGTAAATAGGCGTTTTATATACAAGAGGCTGGCATCCTAGTAAGAGAACGCCGCCGAATAAACAGAGTTTATACAAATTTGTACAAAGGAAAATAAAACAGCTGTATGAAAAGAATAATCCCACTGGGTTCCAACTCTGCTATCGCCCTTATATCTTCGAGCGTCTCATCACTTGATGACCTTAGTTGAAGATGAAGCTGATTGATCGATGCCGTCTGAACTCGCTGTAGATACCGGGTTCTGGATGCAAGGTGATCCAACTAGACATAGTATTACGCTTTATCCCTAACTTTTGCCTGGACCGCCCTTTCGGGTTTTCAGTCCACCGGGATACCCATTTTTGCCCAAGCCGCCTTTTCAGGTTTTCGACTTGCCGGGTGTACAGATTTTTTTCATTTCATCCCTTCATTTTGCCCGAACCTTTTTGGTTCGCCGGGAAGCCCTAATTTTTGCCTAGGTATGTCAACCTAGCGGGTCTTTTTTTCATGCGTAGTATCTTTTTACTATGTCTGCATTGGCGGGGTGAGGAAGGTCGTCACCATCCATGTTGGTTAGAATCATGGCTCCTCCTGAGAACACATGTTTAACCACAAATGGCCCTTCGTACGTAGGGGTCCATTTCCCCCTTGGATCACTCTGAGTAAGGATGATGCGCTTGATTACCAGATCCCCAACTTGATATTCCTGTGGTATGACCTTTTTGTTAAATGCCCTGATCATCCGTTTTTGGTACGTTTGACCATGACAAATAGCAGCAAGTCTCTTTTCGTCAATAAGGTTTAGTTGATCAAGTCGTGTCTGGATCCAATCATCTTCACTCAGATCTGCGTCCTTCATTATCCGGAGAGAGGGTATTTGCACTTCGATCGGTAAAACTGCCTCCATACCGTAGACCAAAGAGAAAGGAGTTGCCCCGGTTGACGTCCTGGCTGAGGTACGGTACCCATGTAGAGCAAACGGTAACATCTCGTGCCAATCTTTATAGGTCACTGTCATCTTCTGCACAATTTTCTTGATATTCTTATTTGCTGCTTCTACAACCCCATTCATCTTCGGCCGGTAAGGAGAAGAGTTGTGGTGCTGTATCCTAAACTGCTCGCAGAGCTCAGTGATCATCTTGTTATTGAGGTTGGTACCGTTGTCTGTAATGATCCTCTCCGGGACGCCGTATCGGCAGATTAGGTTATGCCGAATGAACCGTGCCACGACATTCTTGGTTACCGTAGCGTAGGAAGCTGCTTCAACCCACTTTGTAAAGTAATCAATCGCTACAAGGATGAAGCGATGCCCGTTAGATGCCGTAGGTCTGATCTCACCGATCATATCAATGCCCCACATTGCAAAAGGCCAAGGTGTAGTCAGGACATTCAGAGGAACTGGAGGAACATGCACCTTGTCTGCATAAATCTGGCATTTATGACACGTCCGAGAATGTTGGTAACAGTCGGCTTCCATTGTGGACCAGAAATACCCTGCCCGAAGGATCTTCTTTGCCATAGTGTGCCCACTGGAATGTGTTCCGAAGGTCCCTTCTGAAACAACCGGCTGAAAATCATCAAACAATGAAGTCGCCATCGAACGTCTTTTATCCCACATGTAGGGAAAGGTAAACATCGAGAAAACCCGAGAAGGATGAAATCAAGGTCGAACGACCAAGAGATAAGGGTAAGGGAGTCTGTTACGCGAGGGGAAGGTATTAGCACCCCACACGCCCGTAGTACTCTACAGTATCCACTCTTGTTATCTATCTTATGGGTGTGTTCAATCTATGCTTATTGTCTATTATACTACTGAGGGAAAAATCATGCAAAAGAAAGGAGAGAAGAATGTAGGGAAAATAAAATTGTGCTCGCTTGGGCCCTACCCCAATGCCTACGTATCCTTTTTGAGGAATCAGAGCTACCGTAGTTCGACTCACATGTTTTTGTTTGTTTTGTGTTTTTATGGACGAAGTTAATTTCGCCTTCTGCCGCAGCTCGACCTTTGGAGACTTATGCGTTGGCACAGAAGTAAATTAATCATGTCCTTACCTGAAAAGGGTTTAAAAGAAAAGTGCTCGAGCGCACAAAAGATTTGAATTTGTTTTGTATTTTTTTGTTGTAGATGATGACTGATTGACCTCAAGAGAGAGATATTAACCATTTTTCTACTTAGTCATGAAAGGAGTCTTTGAGAATTGAACCACACCTATGCTTGAGATGAAGAACAATAAGATCGAGAAGAGACCCGCTTATCATTTCTCGTACTAAGCAAAAGCGTGATTCGAATCAGTAGTTTTAAAGTATTTTGTATTTTTGAAAGAAAAAGAAGTTTTTGTTTTAAGTGCGAATGCAAAAGGGAAAGAAAAGTTAAAGGGGAATTAGCCTATTTCTAAACCTAATGTTATTGTGCGTTAGTAGCCATAAGATTTAGGTTAAAGGGGAAATTTCTATCTGATATTAGTATGCATGAATTTGAAAGCCTAATGTCTACTTTCAGTTCAATTAAATCGAAGATTAAATTTGAACCAAAATCTCCTAAAGAATCATGAAATAATATACGAATAAGTAAAACTAGGCAGCAAGCATCAAGATATCGCATACAATCCATAAAAATTGCGAGCGAAATACATGACATAAAAATGAGTAAAACTAATGATTAAAATTGAAAAGGAAAAGTGAGAGAATTGAAAAGAAATCTCTTTTATTTATCAATGTTGCCAAAGAAAATAAATCGCCAAAATTAACCGTAATCGAAATGAGTATGGGAAATAAGATCTCAGGAGGTGCGAACTAAATTCACTATGTGCTGCAAAAAAAGAAATGACATTAGGCCCCATAAAAAATGGACACAATCAACAAGAAAATAAAAATAATCACGGTCCATGAATTGACTAGTTTGGCCCATTCCATCACTAATTCCTCTTACAACAAAAACCCATATTTTTTGTATTATTTTCAGCATATTATTATTATTAAATAAAAAAATATAAAATAATGAAACAATTATATTGTTTCAGCATATTATTATTATTATTATTAAATAAAAGATATAAAATAATAAAACAATAAGATAATAAAAAAATGAAAAAAAACGCATGAAATTGGAAAAGGAATAGGGTTAGAGGAAAGAAAAGTCTCTTCTTCTTCTTCACGAACGCGGCGCCGCCGATCTCTCACCACAAACAGAATCGAACGGCGCCGGTATCTTCGTCACCTCGCATTGCTCCGTCTCAGTTTCTCTTGCGACATCACTCAACCTCTCCGTCCGGTTGCGATTTCTTCTCCGATCCGGTGTCGTCACTTCCGTTCGCCGTCATTCACGATTGCTCCAGTGAGTGCCGTCTTCGCTTTCCTACATCAGCGGTCTTGTTTCTGCTATGCTATACTGCATCATCATTTTCGCCTTACATTCCTCATTCTGATTCAATTTCATTTGCGGATCACTCTGCCATCTCTGATCTTCTGATTCATACTAAACCTTTCTAGATTCAACAGAACTCATACAAATCCGAAGGAACTCCGATGGCTTTTCAACGGTGCTGGTAATGAGATGCTCAGGTAAGCACATTTATTTGCCTTCACGCTTCTTCTTCTACATCGTTTCTGATTTTCTGTGTGTGTATTGATGCAACGTAGAGATTGAAATGAAGCGTGCATTTGACTCTTATCTGATGAAGATGTAAGAGTGCTGGAGCGTAATTTAATAGATGGTGAACCAGATGAAGACTATAGTGAATTGAAAGTTCAGAAGAGATGAAGGTTGAAGGATTGAAGGTGTTTCAGAGGGTTTGTCTGATACTTTTGGAAGATGAAGATGAAGCTAGATGAAGATTGCAGAGGGAGAGAGAGTGCGTAAAGATGAAGCAGAATCAAGGTTGAGAGAGAAATGTTTCTGATTTTTTTGTGTGGTGATTCTTCTGAAGTGATGAAGTAGTGATTGTAAAGGTGAGTTTCTTTTCCCTGTTGAAAAAACCGTCTCCTCCTTTTTCGATTATTCGCTCTATTTTTGTGTTTCAATCTTGGGCGTGAAGGTTTATAGAGCGATGTGTTGTGTTGATCTGTGCTTCGATGCGTTGCGATGAGAATGAAATTTATGCTGATGCCACTTCAGAGATCTTGTAGTGATGCAGTTGGAGAAACTTGTGTGAAAGTTGAAGGTTGAAGCGAATTGAAGACGGTAAAGATTCGGTTACAGATGCAGCAAGAATTCAAAGAAGTTGAGGCTACAGAAGATTGAATGAAGTGATTATTGGAGAAGATGAAGCAAAGAGGAAGTAGAGGTAATCTCCTCATTTTTTGTGAGAGTTTCTGTGAGTTTTCTCAGAATGAATCCCTCTCTGCTCCTCAATTTTATTTTTCATTTTCGCATTTTGCTGTTTGTTCTTGTGCGTGTTGTTGTAATATTGCAGTTGAAGAAGGTTGAAGCAGAAGGTTATGGTGATGGTGATGGTGCGGTTTTAGAGAGAGTGCAGAGAGAAATTCTGATTTTTTTTGCAGAGTTGTGATTGTGGTGATTCTTTTCAATGATTGAAGAACGAGATGATTGAGAGGTAATAATATCCCTCTTTTTTTTCTGTGTTGAATATAATCTATTTTGTCCCCCCTCGTGAATCTCAATTCTGTTATATAGATTGTTGGATCTGTGAATGTTAGTTAGAAGGTGATTGAATCTTGACCATAGATTGAGGATTTCTGTTAGAGAAATCAAGGGTTGGATTTTGGAGTTTGAGAGTTAGTTGGACTTGGTTAAAACTGTTATTTTGTAAAACAGAAATTCTGTTAAAGTGTTAGTATGAGATGAGGAAGTTAGTTATTGACAGTTAGAAATAATTGGTTTAAAACCTGTTAGAGATTAGAGGGTTAGTTGTGGGCAGAAAATTGGTTACTGAATATGGTCTTGGATATTTGTTAGTTATGCTATAACTATTCTGTTTTGCAGTTAGAAGTGGTTGTTGTGCTGTTAGTTTGAGAAGGTAACAGTGTGCTTTCAGTGATATAATCAACTTCAACAGCTCCTTGTCCATCATTATTTGTCTGTCCAGGATTGTCTACAGGACAAGTATCCTTGATGGAAACACTGTTACCCTTGGAAAGAAGATCTGGCACATCCTTTGGAGAGGTACTGGTGATTAAAATAGAAGAGGACTAGCCTGATTCTGGATAAAATGATTCCTGAATGGTAGAGTTACCAGTTCCATCTGCAGAACTATCCTTCAATACGCAGAAATTATCTTCTATTTGCAATATGCCATTCTTCAATTCGCTCCCTGGATCCAACAAGGCAGGCTGACATAGTGAATCAACTATGGGTGAATTCCTCAAGTTGTTATGAAAATCAGGTGAGGGTGATGATTTTACATGTGAATCATCAGTGATTTCTTTAACAACAGTGGCTCTTATCTTTTCTTCGCAGGCACTGTCACAATCCACACCATCTTTTTGATTGTGCAACTTATCACTTGTGCTTTCTAGTTTTGTGTCTATAAGTAAAGCACCTGATGGCACTTCTTCCACGTCCAATGAAGAAGATATCTGCCAGCAATTGGCTTCCATCCCATTTTCATTTTCATTTTCATTTTCATTTGGCTTCCACGTCCAACAAAGAATCATCAGGTTTTTGTTGCTATTTTCAGGTTCATAGCGGTTTGGATTGGGCATGTGATGAAAAGGTATATTGAAGATGGTTTTAACAGCAAGTTTGGCCATAGATGATACGAATAAAACATGGTGAAGAAATTCAAGACATAAGGGCATCAAGCATGGAGATTACTTTGCGATGTTATGGAAGCTTGAAGTTTGGAACATGGAGAATGATTGAAAATTAGGATAGGCTTTGGTAAAAAATGTATAGATGTTATGTATAATTGTAAATGGAATTTGGACTTGTATGTATTTGAATAATTGTAATGTATGTTGACTTTATTTCCACATAATGAAGTGGCCTTTGTATGAATTCAAATAAATGGTATGAATCCAAAATATTTGCAAGGTATCCAAAAGAGACATGAATCTTGAATGAATTCAAGAGAGGCTACTTGGACAATATTTTGATAGTTGGATGAACTTGATACATGCTTTTTTATACTTGTGGTTTGAATTCCAAGAAAAACCACACAAATATTTAAGAACTCTGATTTTCTCCAAATCCACTTCAAATATTGATGAATGAATTCTAATCAAACCACAGCTTCAGTGAACTCCTAATTCAATTCAATTTTCCGATCTAAACCAAATTTGCGTGTTAAGCAAAAAGCATTTGAAGTAATGACACCTTGACCATAATCAACATCTTGTACCATGTCCCGACTATATGAGCACTAGAACAACAACGTCTTGGACCCCTTCTCAATAGATGATAATGACTATGCCCTGAGGGATTCCTTGCAGATGAATATGAAAGATGAGACATGCGAATACCTTGATATGGAATGAACTTCAGGTAGAATGCTTACAAGCTCAAATATGAAAATGTATAAACCCTGATTTTTAGCTTCGTCTCATAAAACCTTGCAACTTGACATTGAGAAGAAAATAATAGCCTCATAGCTTGATGATGATAAGGTCCATGAAATGAAAACCTAGCTTCAAACATATTATTAATGGAGAAATCAACCGAAACAAGCTTTTGCGAAGATGGGAGCCTTAAAGCCATACACCAACCCTTATTCCTCGAAATCCATGATCTTATGCCAATTTAATGATTAATGATGCATGATGTGTTAGATGACCTAATGAAAATTATATATGTGAAAAAATGCAAAAATGCGTAAGCCAGATAAAAGTAGAAGGGTAGGACAAATTTGGGGTATTACAGCTGCCCCTATTTAATCGTCTTAAACCTGAAAGTACGATTGACACATGCCTTTCGGAAGTTCAAGGTTGAAGATGATTAAATACCAATGCCAAAAATTTGTCCTGAGAGAGGGAGTAAGTGTTTTCTTTATTTATTTATTTTGGTGATCTGCCGGGGAAAAGAAATTTGTTTTTTTTTTCAATGAAGAGACAAAGACTGGACTTGTAACGTGGCTTGATGCCAATACAAGACAAATGGTTGGTATGAAAAGACAGTAGACAAGGTCTACGGGCGACCTACGAACCGAGGGTGACACATGAGAGTGATTTGACGGAGAACCTAGCCAAAGGGCGATCTCAGGTTCGACGATGATTTGAATGAAGAACCTAACCAAGAGGCGATATCAGGTTTGACGATGATTTGAAGGAAGAACCTAGCCAAGAGGCGATCTCAGGTTCGACGATGATTTGAAGGAAGAACCTAGCCAAGAGGCGATCTCAGGTTCGAAGATGATCTGAAGGAAGAACCTAGCCAAGAGGCGATCTCAGGTTCGACGATGAAAACATTGGTTATGATATGATGATTGTTTAGATAAGCGACACGGACGGACATCAAGAAAGTTAAACACGGACGAGTGCTTGATTCAATACGGACGAGTATTGAAAGGAGATACGGACGAGTATCAAAAGTTAAACACGGTCGAGTGTTTGATTCAATACGGACGAGTATTGAAAGAATATACAGGCAAGTATTAAAAGGTTAAACACGGACGAGTGTTTGAATCTACGGACGAGTATTGAAAGAAGATACAGACGAGTATCAAAAGGTTACACACGGACGAGTGTTTGATTCAATACGGACGAGTATTGAAAGAAGATACGGACGAGTATCAAAGGTATAAACACGGACGAGTGTTTGAATCAATACGGACGAGTATTGAAAGAAGATACGGACGAGTATCAAAAGGTTACACACGGACGAGTGTTTGATTCAATACGGACGAGTATTGAAAGAAGATACAGACGAGTATCAAAGGTATAAACACGGACGAGTGTTTGATTCAATACGGACGAGTATTGAAAGAAGATATGGACGAGTATCAAAAGTATAAACACGGACGAGTGTTTGATTCAATACGGACGAGTATTGAAAAGAGATACGGACGAGTATCAAAAGTTATAAACACGGACGAGTGTTTGATTCAATACGGACGAGTATTGAAAAGAGATACGGACGAGTATCAAAAGTTAAACACGGACGAGTGTTTGATTCAATACGGACGAGTATTGAAAGAAGATACGGACGAGTATCAAAAAGTATAAACACGGACGAGTGTTTGAATAACTGACCCGGGTGGGTGTTTAGAAAACTTGACACATACGAGTGCTTAGGAATGGACACAGACGAGTTTTTAGGGAACTGACTACCAGACAAGAACTGGGTTTAGAATGACAAAGTGTATTGATTTTGTTTGGCATTGAAAAGGTGAAGGTCACCGACTGGGAACTTTGGGCATGATCTCCTTCTGTAGGGATGTATTGTTGTCCTTGAACAATTCATGTCTTTTGTGTAAGGTACCTGATCTGGCTTATTCTTCGTATGCATGTTTGAATTTTTTTTCCCGCAAAGATCCACTCTGATGGATCAGCTACGCGCTTTTGAGGATGCAATGTTATGTAATGATAACTATATGTAATGCGAAGAAATAAACTTCATGGGGATAAGAGTAGGCTTGCTGGGAACCATTGCTCATTACTGGGGATGTCAGTATATACCGGCGTTGGAAGCCTGCAGTACCAAAGGTTGTTGGGGATACTGATAAGAGTACACACTGGGGAGCCCATGACACCGAAGATTGTTGATGACTCTGCTGGAGATTAAGTTGCCGACGAAACGAGTCTTCAGGTACACTGCTGGATTCTGAATCGTACCGTTGAAGGAAGAGATAATCTGACCAAACCTCCATACATCCCGAACTGTTGAGGGGGTGATAGAAGTGAATATGCCGAAGAACGGATACCGAACACCATGTGGATCCCTTTGAACGCATGTCCCAAGTTTACGCACACTGGGGGATTATTTCTTGAATCACTTGGGGATAAGAGATGAGCGTGGACACCTACAAGTGCCCCGGTTGAACTCTGCGACTGCCCCGGTTTAGCTCTGCGAATGCCCCAGTTCAGCTCTGTGAATGCCCCGGTTTGGCTCTGTGAATGCCCCAGTTTAGCTCTGTGAATGCCCCGGTTTGGCTCTGCGAATGCCCCAGTTTAGTTTTGCGAATGCCCTGGTTTAGCTTTACTGGGGATGCTCTTGATTAACTCCACTGAGGATGCCCTTGCGCGTGCTGAATTAAAAGACGATTCTAGACTTTCTGAATTCACTTGGGGAATCAGACCCGAAATTGTCTGTGGTAGATGAAGGCAGCTTCGTGTGCTGGCTAGGTCAGGGTGACTATTATGATGCTTCCAGCTTGATTCATAGTCTTGTAATTGGCTTGAGCAACTTTGTATGGATGAGGAATGCCCCTGTCTGGATGATCGTTGAGAAGCTTTATGTTGAATAGAAGACCAGAATATTCGTGCCACAAAACGATATGAGGTGGCCTGCCCCAATGTCTTGAGTCACGAAATAAACTGCTCTTGATTACAGCCTTCTTGGAGAGATTTGTCGAATCTCGACGTAACTTCCCCAGGTTGAATGAATTATGAATAGACCTCTCGACATGATAGTCTCTGATTGACAGCTTTGAGGGAATGCCCCAGATTTGGATGAACTTGGAGAGATCGATTCTCGACTCGGTTGCCCCAGATCGGCAGTTTTAAGGGAATGCCCCAGATTGATGGAATCTGCTAACTTTATCCCTGAAGGGTACTCAAGCTGTGAAGTACCAAGATGATTTCTCTTGACAGAATATGGGGTTTAACATGCCTCTGGATAAGTCATTTCTCTTGTGGCAGCTGACTCTTGCTTCAACAGGGTATTCAAGCCTCTTTTTTCTGACAAGATTGAGCTCTTCACTGATTGTTCATTGTGCAAACTTACTGGATGTTGATCAGTTGTTTTGTATGCAGAAGAATGCTTATTATGAGAATGAAAATTTCAATGCAACACATATGTAAGTCTTGATGTTTGAAAAAACTTTGAATGAAATGACGTCACAACTCTGTTGTGAACGAGTCACTAGCCAGAGAGGAACATTTGCAAATTCCCCTTTTATGAAAGATAATGCAAGCATATGATGCCAACACAGATATTGAGACGTACCTCTTAGGAGTTAGTTAAACGATGTCTTGTTGTAGCATGCTTTCGAATTGACCCTTGCTTCAGTTAGGACTTTTATGGGTTGTAACGTGGCCTGGTTCACGGTTTTAGAAAAAAGGATTTAAGGCTCAAAATTATTTGGTGCCCACCCATTCTCCATGATGTTCTCCATTCCTACGTTCAGTTGACCTGGTACAAGTATTCATCTCTCGAGAAGAGTTTGCGATGATTGCAGAACCACTGTGGTTTTTTTTTTGGACACGACAGTCACTAACTTCTTTGCCTTTGGTGTCTGATCAGACGACTTTGTTCTTTGATGAGGATTTTCGTTGGTAATCCTTTTCTCGCCTTTTAGGCTTTTCAATTTCTTTCTTGCTTTCCCTAATTTTTGCCTGGACAAATTCTTTTGAATTTTGATTTGGAAGTCCAGCGGGATGCCCTGATTTTTGCCTAAGCGACTTGTTTTCAAGTTTTGACTTAGCGGGGATTTTTGTTTCTTTCTTATTCATATTTTTTCATTTTGAACAATTCGTTGATCTTTGCGTTGTTTTTGATTTTTCAGAAGTGATCGTGACTGCCTGAGTCTCTAGTAGATGATGGATAGCCATTATTGTATTGTCATTTGTTAACCTTTTGACGTGCGAGGGATACT